AAAAAAATTTAATTTTATCCAATGATAATTACTTTGTGTGATCTTGTACATACCTATTTGGCATAAAGTCATTTTGCTCTTAGTAGAGAACTAAAATAACTCCCTAGATAATACAGCAAGAAAAAAAAACTGCTAGTACTAAACACAAGAATTGTGGCTCAAATTATTAATTCACACTTCCCATAGAGTCAAATTTACTGAACAATTGATTCCAGAGTGATTCCTGTCTAAAGTACAATATTTGAGTTATTTTTAATAAAAACAACATACTTATCAAAAGTTATTACCGTATATATCTACACATTAATCTCTGTACAATTTTAATACTACAAATATCTTTTATGATACTGAGAGATGGAACTGAACAACACTAGAAATAAACAAAGATATACACCAAATAATATTGATAATGATTACCTTTGTGAGATGGATTTATAGGTATTATTGTCTTCTCTCTGCTTTATCTAAATTTTTGAAGCTGTCTCTTATAGTAAGAGAAAAAGGCCATCAGAAAGGTTCTGACTGTGCCAATAAAATTTTTTCTTAAATTCACTTCTTTAAAAACATTTTTAAAACATGTGTCTAATTATCAATAAAGTATAATTCTTAAAAAGAGATGTACTTACCAAATCAGGAATCTTTTCAGGTGGATGAAACATAGCTTTAATAAAAAGAATAACAGCTAATCCAGATGTACTCTGAATTGTTTGTAAGAGGTCATCTATTAGGTAAAAAAGTAGAAAGCATGTATTAAAGGATGATGGATACTGTGGTGCAGCAGACAGAGCAGATGCTGTGAGGTCAGACAGTCCTGAGTGCAATTTCTAGCCTGACAACTTCCTGGGTGAACAGGCCTTGGGTAAGTTATTTAACTTCCCAGGGACTCAGCTTTTCTGTAAAATGGGAAAAATATAACACTTAACTGACACAGTTGTAAGGCTGAAATGAATAATGAACATAAAGGCTTTTATAGCTAGCACATTCTCAACAGATGTGATTTCTTCTTTTCTCCACTAACATCCACTCACTCCCAGCATATCTATCAGCAATACCACATGTCCCCTCCCCTCCACTGATGCCTCTGCATTCCAACCCCCACATGCATTACTTTTTCTTCAAGTGATTT